AAAAAAAAAAAAAAAAAAAAGAAAAAGTAAAAGAGGAACGAGAGAGAACGATTAATGCTCGCGCCAAGTTTTTATTGCGGGAATTCAATTTCCAAAATAAACATTTGCGAAGAGAACAACTGTTGACAAGTCCATTCTCGCGCGAGTTTCAACATTTACGCCGAACGGTTCCTCGACATTTCGCCTCATATATTTCCCGCATCGGCAATCGATCGATACCGACTATTTTTCCTGCCGCTCCAGTCAACTGTATTACACAACGTGTGAAAAAAAACGAATTAAAGCATCGTGCCAACGATGTTTCCTTCTCTCGACGACGAGAAGAAAGAAGACACGGAGGGGTGAACAGGGAGAAAATAAAAGAACGGGAAGAAGAAGAAGACGCTATGACAAAGAGATAGAGAGACACACCTGACGATCTGGTTTGCGTTGAAAGAGCGCAGCGCGTCGCGTAAAACCGGGAAAGAAAGTGGCTGCGACAAGACTATTCAAATATTTGAAGTTCCTCTTGCCGCGGAAGAGCTTCATGACGAAATTACCGCGTCCGACTTTAAATATAAAAAGGAGTACGCGCGTGTGTTGAAGAGAAGATGAAACGTACCGGTATGATTCGGCGATAACCTCGACAACAGTACTAGCGAATTAATCGAAAAGAGAACGATTCAATTTATAGAAAACGGGGGAGAAAACGAAGAAATGACGACGCTTCAGCTTTCGATCGTTTACAAACGCGAAGCATGGTGCGGTTTTATTGGCAGTAAAAATTGAAGACGTAAAAAGGCTTTCTGTGTTTATGGTCATCATAGGAGCAGGATCTATGTAATGCGTGGATCGTTGACGTGAGCTATACCGTGTATTAACTCTTTTGAAACTGCTGGCATTACTAACGCAGCGAGTACGTAGTGAAACACGTTGGGTAATTTGTGAAATTAGTTTTCAAGTGGGTTTTTATTTGATTTACTTTGGCGTTTTAAATGGTTTTATTTCGATATCGGGATTCTTGCAAAAAGTTGCCACTCTTTCTATGCAATTCTGTGTAACACAATCCTGCCACTTCTGGGACTATTGATTTTCAACTAACAACCCTGTCGTGTGTGAGCGAGATCGTTTTGGTAATTCGTGTATCGCTTCGCACTCGATTACAGTGTAAAGGCCGTGTAATTTTTTTTAATTGAAAAAACATTATACGAATCAGCTACTTTTTCTGCAGTAAATCCTGTATTACAAGACTTTAATGCTTCATTTAATTGACGCGTTTGATTGATAGACATTACATCATAATTTTCTGTCGAGGCCGTATTCTTTTAGTTTTCAAAAGTATAAAAACTGCGAATATTTATACTTTTACGAATGCAACCAAAAAAAAAAAAAAAAGAAGAAAAAATGAATCGCACTCAGAGATTTGTTTCACTTACTGAATTTTATAATCAATTTTATATCCTTTGCATGCTTCATACATTTTTGTATTTTTAAAAAACACTTCGCACAATTTAAATATTATTACAAGTCGGACAGAATTTCTCAAGGTATTTTGATTTTAT